CATGTTAAAGTTTAACTGATGTCTGCTTTGTTTTTCATACCTTCCCTTTTTAATTATAACCATATCTATCACATGTTAAAGTTTAACTGATGTCTGCTTTGTTTTTCATACCTTCCCTTTTTAATTATAACCATATCTATCACATGTTAAAGTTTAACTGATGTCTGCTTTGTTTTTCATACCTTCCCTTTTTAATTATAACCATATCTATCACATGTTAAAGTTTAACTGATGTCTGCTTTGTTTTTCATACCTTCCATTTTTAATTTGATCATATCTATCACATGTTAAAGTTTAACTGATATCTGTGTTGTTTTTCATACCTTAGCTTTTCATTTGTAATTACAGTTATCATGTGCTAAGATATATCTGACATATGAGCCTGTAATAACAGTTTTTCATCTTTCAATTCTTAACTGTATATGTTATTGAAAAGTATACCATCTTACCATACTATCTTAACATGTGTGAAAGGTTTTGTTGTGGAAAGATGGAGATGGTGAATGAGTTGTATCTGTTGATAAGGTAGTGATATTAGAGTTGCCAGAAATGTTTAGAGGTGACACATTGTAAAGTTGATGTTTTTGAAGGTCCTGATAAGTGTAGATCATGATCCTTCTTGAAGAGGAAGTCTGAATTTTTCAAAAACGATTTCATAGTTGTTTTGTCTTTGTCAGGAAGATCAATTTAAATGTCAGAGTGGTCACTGTATTTCTAACAAACTTGTGTGTGATGGAAACAAGGACTGTCACGATGTATCTGATGAGCAGAACTGTCCGACACGTTATCCAGGAGGTCGATACTGTCACAATTCTTATTTTGAATGTAACAACACTGTAAGTAATTGTTTTTTTAATATTATGTCCATTTTAGATTAATATGCAAGTTTGAGTTCAAAACTAATATTTTATAATGGGAAATTTTCTGAAATATTAGAGGACTTAAATTTTCAGAAGAATTTCTATTACTGATGAATTTAAGTTCACTATTGGTTTAGTTTCTTTATCTCTTATTCTTATGTTTTGTTCGGTGTCAGAAATACGTATAATGTCAGGGAACTTAGAACTTGTGATTAAAAGAACTTTGAAATAACATAGTTCCAACAATGAACAATAGGTAAGAACTACAGAGACTCAGCAATAAAGAAACTAGAACCAGTATTTTTTAAATTATTATGAGTGATTAATGTAGCTTACATTTAAGTTATCTGGTATCAGTGATGTGCAGTTGGATTGGAAGTGATGAATTTTTTAAAGACTGCAAATGTATAAAGTTGAGAAAGAAAAAACTGTAATTTCAGTAACACTGTGTGGAAAAGTATTACTTGTGTTTTTGATATAAATAATTAATATAAAAAGGGATTGTACATCTTTAATGAGTTGGATTAAAAACTGATAGAACAAAGTAGTCTATAACACTGTTACTAATTTTTATAATTAAAAAAAAATCATTTTCAGTTTTGTTGCACCTGTATTTACAGGTATGTTTACAGCTTGACTTTGTTTGTGATGGTGATGATGACTGTGGTGATGCATCAGATGAGAAGGAAGACCTGTGCCGTAAGAGTCATTTCTATTGTACCCCCCTTAAAAATATGAGTTGTTAATATAATAGACTGAAACGAGCCAGGAAAATTGGTTGAACAATAACTATGATTGGGTGTATTTAGAAAAATCCAATATAACACGTGTTAACCCATGTATAAGCTAAACTGTTTATAAAAAGAAACACACTTGCTCATTGATTAACTGAATATGAGTATTATTGTTTTTTCTAAACAGTTATTCATCATGAAGTTGAATTTTCTTGTAGTGAGTACAGTGAACTATATATATGTGATTATATCTGTACCATAAATGGAAGAAAATATGATTTTGATGGTTTAATAATTGTGAGGACCTACAAATAACAAAAAAACATTTGAATACAGTTTAATATAATAGAAATATTCTGTATCCTTGAAGGATGCAAGATCTTTTCTGTCAAACTGGAAACTTATAAACCTTATAGCCTTATAAACCACTGTTAAAAAAAACAACACAAATGTGTATTATTTTGTAAGTAGTTAAAAAAGGATGTATTAAACAGAGAACATCTTCTCCGAACCTGGATAAATACCTTTCCAACTAACTTACAGTTTAATTTATATTTTAAATCAACTTTTTATCATTTTTTTTTTACTAATTTTGCTTCTTTCCTTACATACTATTCATCAGATGTTTTGTTCACAAATCACACGTTTACATAAATTCATGGCTGATGTTATTACCGCATACTCAGGACTAGGATATTACACTTCTAACATACCATTTGACAATTGTACGTCCTTGAAGATATTACACTTATAACACACCATTTGACAATTGTACGTCCTTGAAGATAT